AACAACAAGAAAAACAAACAAATAAAACCTTCTTTCTGTTCATCAGTGTGTCAGTTGGGTACACATTTCTTTATGCACATAACACCATTATCATACATATTTTACTTTTTTATGTTTATAATCCTTCTAATCAGTGTTTTATATCACATATATACTTACTATATTAGCCTTAACATTATATTTATTGACTTTCAATAGTATATTTCATATTCATTTTCTTACTCTGTCTAACTCATTCAATTATCAGCGATAGATATTATACTGTACTTACATATTTCAATTTCTTACTCTTCTATCTAACCATTCATTAAAAAAAATTCCAAATTTTATAATAATCTTTTTCCTCTTGTTCTCTAATTGCCATTGTCAATTTACTCATTTCAGCACATTTCATTATTTTCTTATTTCCTCATCCATCAGAATTTTCTCATTTTTCCAATTTTGTGCAAATACAATCCTGGCTGCTTTGATAATTGATAATCAAGTAGGTTAACTCTTTGTTGTAACCCTCAGGCAAAATTCCCAATAAAAACATCTCTGGCAAAACACTCTTCCTGAGCCTCAAAAGGAGCTGGCCACCATTCCATGAACCTCAACAGCCACAATGCTTGAAGCAAACTTTCAGATGTTCTCCTCATCCTTGAATCAAAGAAGCTTCTCTGAACCAGAAATCCTTCCAGATCTTGGAGGTTCTGGCAGCCTTGCTGGCCAGGAGAACTGCCTGAAGTGGAGACAGACTTTCCTATCAGAACTTTGGGCTACCGCTAGTGACATCAACAGCTCTTCCTACCTGGGCTGTCCCGCTTGGGCCCTCCCGCTTAGGCCAGGGGTTCCCTTGCCCTATTCCTGTCCGACCTGGGGAGGTAAAGAACATGGCTTTCAGTGAAATTTCAAGTGAGCCATAGAGATGACAATTCAAGGAGATGAGCAACAGCACAGGGCAAAAATCAAACATCCTACAGTACTAAAAAGGGCTAAAAAACGGTCCTAGTAATTCTGCGGTTTAGAAGCCACCTAAAATTGAACAATAAATATATTATCCTTTTCTGATTCAATGGGTTAGAACAGGGTGTCAAACTCAATTTCATTGAGGGCCAGCCACTTCAGGGTTGGGTTTGACCTGGGGGGATGGGGGAATTGCCAGGTTGGGCGTGGCCAGCTCAATGTCACTCATGTCAGGGATGCCTTTGGTGGCCAGAGAAAACGGAGTCCAGGGAGGCCACATACAGCCCTCCTGGGGCTGTTTTTGCTGGCAGAGGCACCATGGGCCAGTCCTTCCCTGTCTCCAGGGTGGCCCCGTGGGGTGGATCTGGCCCCCGGGCCTTGAGTTTCACATCCGTGGGTTAGAAAACCAGAAGGAAAAAGAGAGCAAGGCTCCGTCCCAGGACGAGATGGGTTTGGATGCCAAAGGTCAGCCTCATCCATCCAAAGATTGCCCAGTGGGACAGTGGGACCATAAGAAGACACATGAAGCTGCCTTTTTGTCCCTGCTTTAGCGCTGACCATGGAGAAGGGATGCCGAGTCATCAGAAAGGGGCAGCTGCTTGCTGGTGGACTTTTCTGGATCCTCGTGGGAGAAGTCACACCTGCCCACACTTCTGATGGTTAAGAAGGTGTCAGCCTTCAAGAATCCTTCTTCTGCTTGTCTTTCCGGCTGCCGTAAAAATGGGGGGAGGGAAGATTAATTGGACCTAGTGCGGGGGAAAGAATGCCGGAGGCTTGAGAGTGTGAAATGTAAAACTTGGGATGTTTTCTTGACGATGCTTACTTGCTTACTATGCAGATGTAGCCCCTTATCTATCCAGGCCAAGGTCAACCGTCCTGGCCTGCCAGATGTCTGAAACACCACCTGAAGATGCCCCCCCACATGACATTATGCACACCTCAGATTAGATGGCCAGTTTGAACTACTGGGGGTGGGAACATGGGGATAACTTTCTATATGTGATTTTCGTGCCTATCTTGTATTTCTTCTGATGCTACCACATCCATTTCCAGGAAAAGTCCTTTTCTCTGTAACAATGGAGTCTAAGGTTTTCTTTCTTGGATTTTGAATGGAGCCTCACCTGACATTATACAAGATCTGAGGCAATAGTGAACCAAAAGAAGCACAAGGTTGATGAAATGGTTAAAGCCATAGGAGACAACACATTCATTTGATCACGCAATTGTTCCAAAATCAGCCATAGTAGCACTTTTGGATTGCAAAGAGAAAAGATTGTGCACAATCCAAAGGAGAATTAAGAAATTCTTTATTCTGCTGTACAAAATAACAGGGACAACCACCACGCAGGCCCAGCTGGTTGCCCCCGGCAACAGGAAATTCCACCCAGGCGCTCAGGAAGGGAAAAATCATGGGATTTGCCCCTCCCCCGCTATACTCTCCCCCAGGGCCTCCAGATTGGAGGAGGAAGCTCATGGGGGGTGGGGGTGTACCAGA